CAATGACGACAACTATAAAATAGTTAATTAAACTATGCAAATAATTCTATGACTAATATTTGTATAGTTCTCACCTATATAGTTGCCGTGACTAAAATTTTTTCTCTCAGTGCTTAAACCGTCGACTTTCCTGATGAAAAAAATGGCAAATTTTTTCGCATCAGCTTCGAGTAAACCTGAGAATGGTTTAAGACAGCCATTTGTCTCATTGCGCGTCGCTAGGCAAAGACTGGAAACATTAAACATCGTCCGAAGAGTACGAGACAGCCGTTCTGCAACTCCGTGATTGATACTCGAGTTAAATATCGGACAGGCACTTGCGAAATGGGATAGAAAGATCTTGCTAGACATTTGAATTCGTAAAGTCTGATTCGTGAAAAAATCCCTTATCTTCAATCATCGCGCGCGTTAGGAACCGTTAGGAATGCCGAGGATATTTCGTAACAGAGCATAATGCACCGTGGATTTATGAGAAAGTCATCGACAGGTATCGCATTCGCGGTATCTCACGATATTTTATCGCCCGATCGAGATGCCGTCTCGATCTCTCCGGTGTTTTTTTTTTATTCTTTCCTGCTGTGCATCCAGAGACGCTGGGCCACTTCGTACCGAGAAGTCTCTATCGCAAAGGCCACCGCGGCTTCTCGTACGCGGCTTAACATGCGTGACGCGGCTGTGCACAAACGCGTGCAGCAAACGCGTGCGGCTTGCATATATACGAGCGGTTGATTTATCGCATCTCGGGCACGAGCCCGGCCTTCTCTTATCCGCTACGGTATTGTCGTGTATATTGAAAAAAAAAGAAACACGAATTAGACCTTCGTGGGTGCGTCGCGTTTCCCGGTTGCGAGACACTGAAGATTACACGCATAGTTTATCGCTTCTTTCGTTTTGCGAGCATACTTTTCTCTCTCCCCCACAAACCCTGCCGGAAATGATTCTACAAAATTCTACAAAAAAACATACAATATACTGCCAGAATCTAAGAAATTCCACGTACATTTAAAGAGTGTTGTAAAAATCAACATAAAAATGCTAGAATTGGAACACTTTGGTTAATTTTTGTAATATTCTACAAGTAAGCAGATGTTTTAAAACTAGTTTTATACTAATTTTTACAAAATTGTTTCTTGACTTGAGAACATTGTAATTTGTGGTACTATTTCGTAGATATTTCTACAAAAAAAAATTAATGTTTCAACGAAGATATAAAAATTTCTACAAATTTCTCTTTCAAGTCAATTTTTTGTAGTTATTTATCGAAATTTTTTCCGCCAGGGAAGGAAAATAACGTAGGAACAATCGCGCGGTTACGAGCAAAAGTGTTACCGACGATAAATTAGGATCTGGCCTCAACACTTCTCTCGCGACGAGTGAAGAAATTCACTGACGGTTACCTTTTTATTTGTTTCAGACTGGCGAGAGACTCTTCATTGGAGCGCCAGGCAGTTATTACTGGCAAGGTGAGATCCCTCATCCCATTTTCGTCTGTAAGATAACGCCCGTGTATCTTAGGACGTAAACCGGCCGAAAAACTGTCTTTTAAGCTAACGACGTATCTATTATTTTTCTTTTTTTCAATCGAAATTGTCTGATCCACGGAGTGGTGCGATTGAACGAGAACGGAGGAGCGGATGTTGATTAGTGATTAAAGAGAGAAAGAGAGAGAGAGAGAAAGAGAGTGAGAGAGAAACAACTTGAGACTCCTAGAGCTCACTAATAATTCAGAGGGGAATTTCCTTTAACAAATTGCAGGTCAGATATACTCGATCGCCGCCGCCATGAGGTTGAAGTTCGTGGCTACGATGTTAGTCACCGAAGCCGAAGCATCAGGTATCGCGAACACTTGCAGGCGTCCCCCCGTAATTAAAATACTCTCCACCCTTACCCCGTTGCCCCGTACCACCCCCCCCCCTCTCATTCTAATAAGCTACCATTCTCTCGTATTGACGACTTCTTACGTGCCAAATTAACAACAACGTGTTGCTTGTCGGCTTTTTCCGAGAGTGCGAAGACTGAAGTGAAAGCCGGCAGTGATAATTCGCATTAATAGCAGGAAATCGTCCTCGGAGGCAGGTATCAAGTAACACGAGAGTATTTTCCACCCTCGTCGCACTTGCTTGGCAGTAACCCCAGTCATTTGCCCTCACGCTTAACGTTACGTTATTAATAGACGCTTGTTATTAATTCAGATCGATTGAGATCGATGAGTATAGTGTGAATAACTAAGCCCATTATAGCTCGAGAATGTGTTAAAATTAATTTCATTAACTTGTTGAATCACTCCTCATACGTGATTGGGATGATTCACAGTCTCTGTGTTTGATTCTTTATGTTGTAACACTCAATGTATTTACCGTATATTATTACGAATTAAATTAATTGGAAACTCTCGTTAAATTAAGAAATTCCAGTGTCTCGTTTCCCTGATGAGTTAAAGCCATAATTGCGACAATTAACGGGAAGTATGCCCTTTCTAATTACTGCCAAATAAGTGGTGGGTGACCATTTCTAACAGGTGCGGGCCCGCTTCTTACAGCTTCAGCAAGCTACAGATGCAGCAAGAGCCGTGGTAATACGGATCCAACTAGAAAGCTATAATATCCTTAATCGGCTCGAGAGTTTGCGCCAACGTTGCTACATAGTGACGATCGCTTGACATTAATAGCGAGAACAAATGCTAGATTAATAATAGAAAAGCTTGTCATTCCCAAGTTTATATAATATGTTGTTTTCACAAAATCTTAGAGAATAAAATTAAGTCCGTAGACATTCGTACATTAGTAGGTACATATGCGTGATTTCTTCTGTTAATTAATATTTTGTGACTATCTATTAAATGTCAAATTGCTCTCTGATGGCAACTCAAATCGAACAGTTGACAATTACAACGTCAGTGCTGTTTTAACGCGGTACAAGATTTTGTGAAACTTTTTGTGCGAGCTATTTCCTGACTGCGGCAAAGTCTTTCAGAGATCTTCGACTAGAGCCGCGGTCACGAAAGACACTTGCATCCCCAACGCTTCCTGGGTTGTATCTTTTGCTAACGTCGTGGAATCGTTTTATAGGACAAGCGTTTTCGCAGCCCTTGAACGGTCGGTCGAGGATCATGTTCACCAAAGAGGGCCCGGCGAAGGAGGACGATAGTTACATGGGTTATTCCATCGCGACAGGAGATTTTGTTGGGAACGGAGATAGTGGTACCGCGGTTGGCGTCCCGCGCGGTTCCGATCTTCTGGGCAAGGTGTGTAAAAGAGTATCGTATTGCAACTCGAAATACAAAGACACCAAGTGCAACAGCATGACGATGGAAATGTACCCTTATGAAAAAATACACTCAATCATACGTTGACGGTCCGAAATAACCATCAAATTGAGTGTAAACCTTCATAATC